ACCTTAAAAAAAAAAAAAAAGTATTCTTAATAAAAAGAAATAACTTTCCCACCATGTTATTGTAGGACACCTCTAACAAAGTAATATTCAAAGCCTTCTCCTCAATGGGAACACAAAGAATTGGTGAACCTGTGAATCACCGCTCCAGGCGTCCTCTTTATGCACAAGAATCCTTCGAATCACACACAGGAGCCACTCTAAAAATGTGTCTAAACAGCCACGTAACAGCACCCTCCTGTCTTCAAAAGGATCCAAGATGTACTACCAAGACTCCAGTAACACAAGTCAGGCTGTACTTGACTTATTTATGATGAGCAAAACAGACCAAGAAAATCAAGAAAGAACTGCATGAAACAGTCACGTGCAGAACTGTACCAGTACATGAGGAAAAGGACAGAAATCGGGAAGGGGGGAAGGCAGTGGACACATCTTGAACAAAAGATGTGTAAATTCTTTGTATAATCCCTTTCTTACCAAAAATCTAGCCAAGATCTCAGTCTCCAAATAAAAGCTTTCCAGTGTTTAACTGGAAGTAAATAGCAGTAACTTTAAAACATCAAAATGCTGGAAAATATTTACAACAAAGAAGCAGAAAGGCGCTCAGCTAAGACATCTGGTAGCACACCTCCCGTGCTAGAAAGACCTTCTTTCTACTGGAAGGAAACCAAGGAGCAAAGCTAAAGAAAATATTTCTCTGACAAGGCAAGACGAGAGTCTGAACAAGTGCCAGAAGGGTAGGTGTGTGATTGAATTTCTATAATATCATTGTAATACTGGCCTGAAGCTCTTCTGCACGAGAACCCTCGCCGCTCCTGATTCACTGGCAGACGTCAGCTAAGCTCATTCATGTTAGCAGCTTAGTTCAACCTAGATCTTAGTTCAATTTGCACCTTGTACAAATGGATCTCCAAACGCCAAGGTGCACAGTACCTTCCCAAAGCCACACAGGCAGCAGGACTGCAGCCGTAACAAGCTACAGAAATGCACAAGGCTCAGGGAGAAAAGTAACATCGCCTAACAGATGATCTGCCATGGCTGGGTGGGGAGGGAAGAGAAAGACAGGCAAACCTGCTCCCAAATGATCACCTGGTCTAGCAGAATATTGGCAGCCCTCACAAACTTCTCCCCAGGGCCACAGCTGCGTTTCAGGCACATTTGTATATCTTGATAGAATTCAGAACCCTTGAGACTTCATTTCCCACATTTGCATGTGGTGTTCTGAACCTTAAGGGTAAATCCTTCAAGATTTACAAGAGACCAGGCTTGCTTTGTTTCTCCTTTAATAAATTTACTAGAGAAATAAAATCCCGATTTCGGCCTTGCTGCCTCTGTAATAAGGTGACCAACCTGAATGACATAGGCACAGGTGTGGAGAAGACTCTCAACTCCTTGGCTCACCTATCTTTCTCCATGAGCCAGTTGCCATCTTTCCCATCAGTGTAACAGAAATACAAAGTATTTTGGAGCTCACGCCACACTTGCAGTTGAGCAGGCAATAATCATTTTCCTTCCATGAAAGCCAGCAGAAAAATGTTGCAAGATAGGACTCGGGAAATTTGAGGAAGTAGGACTTGGTGGTGTTCACAGGATACATCAGCTGTTCGCTCCTTTAAACAAGGGACAGCAACACGCAGCTTTGTTCTTCTATTAACCTATGTTTAACTGTTCCCCAAACAAACCTCTCTGCTGCTGAACTAGACAAAGATTTCTCTAACGGCCTGTTTTTGGCCTCACAAGCTGTTAAGCAGCTCTGATCAAAGAAAGAGGAAAGTACATCTATCCAGGAAGCTGAGGCTCGTTTGAAAAAGGAACAAACCCCGAGTAATGACACAGGTACAAGACAATCATTACATATTAGGGCTCCAACAGGAACAAATGCTCTGTGACCGTCACCTTGTCATTTCTGTCTCCTGCCAGACTTCTGTGGAAGATGCTGTGTGTCTGCAGCGCGTCCCACACCAATTACATGGATCCACTGATATTCCTCCAGAGCAGAGTCCACCACGCACAACCATCATGCTGCAAGCCTTTTCCCCTGAACCCATTTAGCCAAGCAGGCCTTTCTTCCTTTAAAGGCAACATAGCTAAGTGTTTTTTTCACCCAAAGATAAAACTGTGTGGGAAAACGACCCTTAAAAGAGGACTGGGAAGAGCAGCATATAGCTACTGTACCTCCCGGAGGAAGCCGCGCAGTAAGTTGTGAACTTGCAACGCGGGCAGCTGTTCCACAGTCTGTTCCATCGACGTAGACATTTGTCGTATGCAACCGAGCTTCGAAGCTTTAAACTGCTCCACACTCCAATTATTCTAAGCAAACATTAACAGTTTCCAGAAGGGGAAAAAAAAAAAAAAAAAAAGCAATATGGAGTTCCATATTCAGGCCCTAGCTGAGATCTCAGGAACATTTTTTCACAAACAGGTCTCATTTTTTAAGCCGTACATGAGAAATCTTTATTTTAAAGAAGTATTAAAAGACAATACTTGCAGAACAATCTTCTGATTATTTATTGAAACTATTTCTGCCTTACCAACACAGATTTCAACTTACAAAAGATTACTGCAAGCTCCAGATTAAGCATTCATTTTGCTCTGGAACACTGAAACATCAAGTACTGCAGGGGCAAAAAGGAGCCATTGGTTCCCTTTGAGGAACAGGGGTCCTCATTAGCATCTGAGCTATCCTTTCTGGATATGCAATTTAACTGCTCAGATTTACTGAGGGAGAGGAAGAAGATGGTAACTTTCAGACACCTGAACATTCCCAGGCCAAGAACATTTCCCACCTCTGTCCCTTATCTTTATGGTAGGAAGGCAGAAGCCATCACATCCTCCATAAATGGACATAATATAGGAAAACATTCAAAAAAAAACCCACCTACTGCAGCACAGCCCTCTATCTACCACAGTCGTTCATCAAGTTCTCAAACATGCCATAACAGAGGCTCCAAAGGCAAAGCCACACAGACTAAGAAGCAAGGAGCTCTGACACAGCTTTGTCAAACTACAGTTCTACTACATCCTGTGACTACTTCAGATCTAGGAACTGGAAGTGCTTGTGCAAGGCTGACCCTTGGCTAAGCAAACCAGTGCTGTCTTTGCACCACACTCCAAAAACCCTACAGAAAATCACCCAACCTGGCCACATATAACTCGACACCAGTCTCAAGTAGAGCCATGCAAAGCTCCACAAGGAACACGTAGGAAAATCACATTCACAAGGTCACATTTCCCAGCACCATTCCAGAGCTCCCTCTGATACCTGCACTGTTCACATATCTCTTCTGTTTCGATGATCACAACCACACCCACTGGTTTATCAGCCATTTATACTCACCATTAACTCTTCAGTGGTGAATCTGCCCTCTGAGATAATCTGCCCCTGAAAAAAATCCCTGTCACAGTTTCCAGAGATGCTCTTCACTCAGTGCAAAAACTGAAGGCAACCTTCAAAGCGAGCAACCAGCCTCTTCTAAAGCCTGACCGGCAGCAAGGCAGCGTTACAGACACTGCACGGAGAAGCTATGGCACCTCCCCAGTTCCCACAGCGAGCGAGGCAGAGATCCACGAGGGCTGACTCACACCTTGTTAAAGGAGGCAGGAAAAAGAAGCCCAGGCTCAGCGGTCCTGCCAGATACCCACTTGTTGAGTCCGGGCTGCCATTCCTCTCATCTTTGGCCACAGCTAGGGGGCTGGAGAAATTAATGAGAAAACAACAGGGAACAGCCAACCTGGGAGCACACCCAGAGTTCGTAAGGCTCGCACAGAAGGCTCCATACGCCCAGGCATTTGTGCCCCTTCCTGCCAGCCTCTCACCTCTCCTGGTAGCTTGGGAACCATTCCTGCTCCGACACGCTGAGCTGGAAGGCAGAAGAAAGGAGTTTCCGGCAATCTGGCTGAGAAGCCCCTGAGGCCACGTCAACAATTTGGTTATGCCCAAAAAATATTCAGGTTCCGAGAGGAAGACCAGAATTATCTTTTTTTTTTTTAAATCATTTTTCTTCACCTTCTCAGCACAAGAGCTGACAAAAGCTCACCACAGCTACAAAAGACCGAGCTGCAACGCTGCCTGCTCCCAGCCTGGTACCACTGAAATGACTCCAAGCTTGGTGAGACCTGCCCGAGGGGATGAGTGAAGAGAGGTGGATATCCGTGGTGGTTTTTTCCCACCTTTGGCTCTCCTGTTTGCAATACTGCATTTATTTCTGAAGGGAGACTCGATGGGTCTCCCTCACCGCCTCACTCTGCCTCACACACGTCCACTACTTGAACCTTAGATCGGCTCCCACACGTGAAAGCTCAAAATATGACTTTGCACAGGTGTTAAAAATTAAAAATTAAAATTAAAAAAAACAGCAGCTGTGAGGCAAACTAGAAGGCTTAAGACAACGCAAAGCTGTCTCCTGGGGAGCCAACCCTGGGGGGTTTTATTTGCCTCACATTTTATTTGCCCTCTCGATTTTAGAAGAATTTTTTATTTCTTTAGGGAGCATCAAGCCTTATTTCACAAGGAACGGGATGAAAATAAAATAAAAAAGGCAGGTTTCAGATCTTCCCCCGTGCCAGCAGCCGTCCCCCCCCCCCCGGGCGCCTCCATCTTGTGTCGGGGCGGCCCCGCAGCCCCTCTCCCCCCGTCCCCCCGCACTCACCTCCAGGCGGAGGGCGGCAGCGCAGCCCCGCAGGAACTCGCGGATGTTGCTCAGGCACTCGGCCTCCGTGCGCGGCTCCGGGAACACCTGCAAGGCAAGAGGTGGCCGTGCTCAGCGCGGGGTCCCCCCTCCATCCCTTTTACCATCCCTTTTTTTTTTTTTTTTTTTTTTTAATCCCCCCCGGCTCGCCCCTCACCTCCCCTCCCCTCCCCTCCGCGGGCGGCGGCGGCGGCTGGGCAGGGCTCGACCCGGGAAGTAAACAGGGAGCGCAGGAAATGGCGGGCGGGGCAGGAGCCCGCCTCCACACGGGGCGGGATGAAGGGAAGGGAAAGGGAAAGGGAAAGGGGGAGGCTGCGGGCACGCTCGCTGCTTGTTAAAATTAGGGATTAAAAACCCAGCCCGCGGCCGGTTGGCTTCACCCGGCGTGGCTCCGGAGGTGCTGTGAGGAAACGCCGCGTCCCAGCACACAGAAGGCGCCTGAGGAAGGGGAGAGCCCTGAGGGGGCTCAGCCAGGAGGTGTCACCTGCAAGGTGCCCACAGGAGCCAGACACACGCTGCACACACTCACCGCCACTCAAATGCTGTGTGCGTGTTTGTGTGTGTGCAAGGACTCACCCCCCAAAAAATAAATAAATCACCACTGATTTCTTACAAAGCTTTTACCACAGAAACCACTGCTCAAACCATGAGGTAACCAGACCCACAGCCCTGGACGCGTAGCTCTGTTTGAGCAGCAAAGCCAAGAGCAAAAGTGCATTGGAAGACATTGGAGGCAAAGGTGGCTCTGCCACCATCACATCCTTTGCCTACACGGCACGCTGGAAAGGAAGTTTTGTTACAAGCACACCGTGTGTCAAGGCAACACAAACTCACACACAATCCATCGCCTCCAGATGATGGGCATCCAGAGTGCCTGAAACTTAGCACAAGGCTGCCTCCAAACACTGCATCAAGCCAAAGCCGGGCCTTCCTGCAGAGCTAGTAGAGCATCACAGATATTTCCGACCCTGTGGTACTACAAGCATTGACAACACAACAGCATGACAGGCTGAACAAAGGTATGTAAAACACAAGTTGCTCTCACTTTCTAATCACAAAATTCAGATTAATTTTAAATGAATGCCTTTATTTCATAATACAAGGAATTGCTATCAATATCAACTGAATTACAGAATCACAAAATTGTCTATGTTGGAAGAGACCTCAAGATCATCGAGTCCAACCTCTGACCTAACACTAACAAGTCCTCCACTAAACCATATCCCTAAGCTCTACATCTAAGCATCTTTTAAAGACCTCCAGGGATGGTGACTCCACCACTTCCCTGGGCAGCCCATTCCAATGCCTCACAACCCTCTCAGTAAAGAAGTTCTTCCTAATATCCAACCTAAAACACCCTTGATGCAACTTTAGCCCATTCCCCCTCGTCCTGTCACCTGGCACAGGAAGAAGTCTCCTTTTCTCAGGCAAGCACACACACACACCAAGCTCCTCCAATTATTTGGTACTATGATATACTGCTGTGGGTTAGGAATAACCATAACCCTTTCATTATAAAAAACATAAAGGGAATGCCAAAGAAGTCTGACGTGAGTACAACAGCCTAAATGGGAATCACAGTAAGTTTGGAAAAGATACAAACAGAAACAGAACCCCCTTGGAAATATGATGAGCTTCATCCCCCTTGCATTGTTTTTGCCAGTTTTGTGTTTATTGTTTGCTACATGTTTTGATTGCTCCAATTAATTTACTTCTTAATTTTCTTAGGCAATCTCACGCTTAGCTAATGATCCCAACACCCGCTGTTAGAAATGTTTCTGGAGAATTCTGTTAGTAACTCCTGGCTTATGCTTCTGGCATGCTCCTGCCTCATATTGCTGTCTAACATGGGACACACAATAATTACAGAGTTGCAATCTGTAACTTTTTTCTTATACTGGTTGCAAAATATCTGGTTTTGATCTCCCTTTACAGGTCATACTGCCTCATCCCTTTTTTAGTACCCGCTATTTCTTGGTTGCTTCTACTTCATCAAAGCCTCTTCATCCTTAAGCTTAAAATTACCCATGATCTCCAAGCAAGAATAACCTCTAACAAGAAATCACTTGAAATCCAGATTTCTCTTAAAAGAAACAAGCTTCTTGCTTCATAATGTAGTCAGGTGTCTCAACTTAACACTCCTTATTCCCAAAGTGCTGAATAAGTCAAGCACCAAATTCAGTAATGGCGAGAAACCCAGATATGTGAATGACTACCTCAGAAGAAACTGCACATACCTCATAGAAGATTTCACAGTACCAGGGAATAGGTCAAAAAAAAAAAGGATTAGGAAGGACACCTGATTTAGAGGGCAAACAATTATGATTAAAGAAACAATAAGAAAAAAAAAAAAAAAAAGCCAAACATGCCAGATATGTCTTTGAAATCTCAGTCCTACCAGAACTCAAATGCATGTTTGCTGTTAAAAATCATCTTCCCTCAAAAAGAATAGAATAGGTTATGGTAAATCTTTTAAAACTGTATTTTTTTCTCTGTCAAAACAAGGGAGGGTAATGGACTTGAGCAGTACAGGGGGGTGACACAAGCAGGCTATATCTTCTCAGCTCTATGGGTACAGTGGCATTTTTATCCAACTGGGAGACAGAAGCATATGGGTAAAGAATCTAAAAATATCGCAGCATTTGTATCCTGCTGGAAATGTGAAGTGTTAATGATCCCATAAAAAGAAGCAAATCCATTAGGTTATTTAAATGGGAAACCTCAATGTGACTCCAGCAATCTTCTACCAAGAAGCACGATGACCTGAGCAGCACACGCAGAACCTCTGACTGCATCTCCAAGTTCAATTCTGTGGGCCAAGTCAGTGTTAAAATTACACCTGTGGTAGCAGACACTTGATCCCATTACAGGCAGCGACACAGGTAGCATTTATAGTCCACGGACTATTCACAACGCAGCATAAATGCAAGCAGAGCACAGGCAGGCAAGGATTAGTCTGCCCAAAAGAAAGCAAACACATTCAGAAAGCCAGGATAAATAAACCAAAACCAAAGAGGGTCATACTCCAACATTACTTAGCTTAACAGAAAGCCGATTGCATGCACGTAAAGGCAATGAAAAGAAGAGGTTGCATGCTTTCCTCGCCGGTGTTTGCTTCCTCCTCTTGCTGTCACAGCCCAACGCTGTCAGTTCATTAGCAGGGGCTGTCATCTTGTTACAAGCCTATACCACCCGCAGTACAAAGAAGCCTCAGTGTCCAACTGGAACCTCTACGTGCTAGAGTAACACAAATAAAAAAGAATAACTGTAATTAGAAAAGACAGGACTTCCAGAGGGACCTGACAGATTCTTAATTAGGGACCGGGGCTCCACAGAGGAATCCAGCACAATGAGCAGAGGCAATGCACAGAGCGGCAGCAACAGCCTCAACCACTTCGTGGTTCAGGGACAGGTTCTGATTAAGCCTTCATCCCTCGGGGAATAGTTCTAGAAATGATGGGTAGTTCAACAAGGACACGCATGCGAGGCACCACAGCTGTCAAGAAGTGGACTACATTGTTCTCCATCTTCTCTGGATGGTAAAAAATGTATGATACAATAGATGGTGCCCAGCTCTGTTACCTCTGTTTTGATTCAGTTTAACTCTGTAATTTTAATCAACAACAACAAATGCATAAAGAAGGGCAAAGCAGAGACAGGAAATACTGAGAAAAGGAACTGACAGGGGCTGTCTCAGGAAAAATGAAAAAGGCTACCTCTTGGACAACAAAAGTATGCCAAGAAAATAAGCAAGGAATGTATAACAATAAATGGGTTTAAAACACAAAAAGATATCCCTTTGATTGCAAAGAGTAAACTCTATAAATTAATAGCTGCTGATGTCTTCTACTTCCGTGTATGGAAAGCTAGCTGTGTACTCGCATTCATCTGATGAGCAAAATGGGCCAACGTAAGAGAGGTCTTTCAAACAAACTGGAGTGAAGGCAGTAGGAAGAGACTGATTTTTGAAACTGCTGTGTAGGAAGCTTGCTGTCATTCAGTCATTTATCTAGCATGGCACACAATGTGTACAACACGGTTCAGGTACGAAGGGAGACCGTCCCAGTGAGAAGAAAGCAGAACCAGCAGCGAACAGAAGAGGGACCGGCCAACTAGCAGGTGTGTCCAGCAGACACTTGAAAATGTCCTGTGCCGGGAGCGTGGCTTCCTGAGGCCAAAGTTCAAAGACTCAGCCTCCAAGCAGGCACGCTAGGGGAAAAATTCCTGTAAAGAGGCAGTCCTGCACTTCAAAGAGCATTACGGAAGAATGAAATCATAAGGGGACGTGTTATGGATGAGGGCGCTGTCCTCTGTCACTATGTGCCGATCATTTTTCCTGTTCATTCTGCCCGTGGTCTTTTTTGCACCGTATCCACCCAAGACACTGACCATAAGGACCCATCCCTTGGGGCAGAGACACCAACAGCTTTCAGGTTCCTGCTCTGTCCCTCCTTCCCACAGCACCCATCCGCATCAGTCAGATCCATCAGGGACAGGAAAGAAAGGAGCACAGAGCCACGGTCACAGCAGAAGGTGCAGCTGCGCTTTAAGGGTCGCATCACTCACGCCTGTGGCTGAGGAGCATCCTGCACTCAAGCCAAGACTACGGGTCTTGCTTGTGAGGTGGCACTAGCAGGACTCTGCAGTTAAACCAAAAACACGGAGCGGGATTCTTAGAAAGACACATTCTGGGCTGTAGGCACCTTGATGGAGCACCAAACCTCACAATGAGTTTGTCTCTGCTGTACAGTGGCTCTTTAGTACTGATTTTTCCAAATCTATAAAGCCCGCTGCCCACAAAGTTTTCAATAATCAGCAGCACAGCAGCTGCTGTGTGCTACACACCTGCACTCTGGCACAAGGAAACCCGTGCTCTGAAAACCCAGCAGCAGACACGGTGTACAAAGTGAGAGCTGGATCCAATAAAAGACTCTCACAAGCCATACTCCAGCAACCAAATTTTTAAATTCACAGTGCTCACTCAGAAAAATAACCCACAGACCCAAGAAGGGAAGGTAGGTGCCTTAAAATACAACCTAAATTTCTTGTATGCTGAGAAGGACACCCAGACTGAAGTAAACCAAGAATCAAGCCACCTTTCAACCCAGCAATTCCAGTCCCAGTGTTTAGCCCCACTTTTTTGCCCTGCAACCTTATCCCACTGATCAGGAGCCTACCACCCTTCCTTGACCATCCCGTGGGCCATACCAGCTAACCAGCCACAGCTCCCTGCTCCCTCAATTTCCACCCGGTTAGAGCAGCTGGAACAGGAGCGCTTTGGTTGTCTGAAGACTTCTCTAGCTCCAAGTTCTTCTGCACATGTTCAAAAATGCCCCTTTGTTGGAAACAGCCCTCAAAACACCAAGTTCAGCTAATGCTGGCAAGTTTGGGAAGGAAATTTACAGCCCTCTTAAAATGCCAACCACTTCTGTGGCAGCCTTGATAAACTGGTTCTCTGAGTCTTACACAACACCTAGAGCCACTTTTCTCTTTAAGCTGCCTTGTGGAAATGATACCGTGAGACTGATACTGCTGTTTGAGATCATCCCTTCAGATCTGCACCTGTATTAAACAACGCTCAGGAAAACAGTATGTTCTCTGCAGTGGAAGTTACTGGATTTTTGTTACCTTCCTTGGACCCTGGTCAAATTCCCATCAAAGTCTACAAACAGACTTCCATGGGACAGGTATTTGATCGCTCCCTAAGATACAAACACAGTAAGTTAAGGGCGTCATGGTGTTCCAGATGCTACAGCTTTGTTTTCAGAAGTTTCCATTCTATTTTTGTATTTCACACACACACAAAAAGAGGGTTAAAAAAAAAAAAGAAAAAAATATAAGACGGCACAGAGAATGCCAAGCCTGTAAAACTTAGCAAATACAAGACTGAGAGTTGCTTTTGCAACTGCAATTACAATCCACCTGCAGGCCCGCCTTGTGAACTGAGTCTGCTGACACACATGCATGTGAGAATGCATAAATGCATAAAGCATCACACATCGGCACACAGGAGGTCTGGTTACAACTGCACAAGTAATATTTCCACTGTTTCCAAAAATTCCTAGTCCCACATCCCCCCCCGCCACCATTTTTTTCTTCTTATTTTCTTGTCTATTTAAAGGAAAAGGTGGCAGCAGCTAGCAGGCAGCTGTCGCAGCCCCCTGTGACTTTACCAGCCCAGGGCTGCTGGGCTCCAGGAGCGACCCAGGACGATGCGGAGCATTCCCTGGAGCTGGAGTGGGCGAAGCACCGTGACGTGCTGCTCCAGCTGCCAGCAGCGTTAGGGCAGCAGCCAACGAAACCCAGCTGAAGGGGTAATTTGGGAGCTCTGTTAGCAGCAGAGGCCGGTAAGCAGGGGTGTTGCACCCCCTCCCACGGCCCCCTGCAGTGCCCCTGGTGCAGCAGGCAGCGCCGCTGTTCGGATGCAGCGTGCGCTCGGGCTGCAGGAGTCCAATCGCTCAGGGTTTGTTTACACTGGAAGAGCTCTGCTGCTAGCGGTGCTGGCATCGCTCCTCCATGTGGATGTAACATATGCCAGAGAGGGAATTCCTCTGCCAGTCTAACCGTACCGCTTCCCCCAGTGACATCGACGCAGCCAACTAAAGCACCGCTCTGTCAGCACAGCTGCATCGGCTGGGGGCGTAGGACTTGACGGCTTTTTTCCCCCCTCTGCGTGTGTGAAAATACTCCACGGGCCTACAAAAACCCTACAGCGGAGACCCTGCCCCGGGCAAGCTGCCAGCATTTTCCTACGGTGCTTGCTGCAGAGCTGGAAAATGGAGACCCGAATGCTCCTAGACCTGAATGCTCCTGGACCCGAACAGCGTTTAGTGGGCCAAGAGGGGACTCTACCCACAAGGTCTGCAGGGAGGAACAGAGTTAGGGGAATTTTAAATAAATGTATATTTATATCTATAAAATTAGTAAACTTCACTGTAAGGCCAGACGTGCATTTTTTTCTAAGGTTTTTCCAAGTTACAGTCGTAGACATCGTCACCTGAACGATGCTCTGCACTCTGCCCCCTAGCACCCCAAACCTCAGCACCCCAAAAAGCTCCTCCTCTTCTCCACAGAGATGTGGTGCTCAGAGGACGGCCTGGGTACCCAAGGGCTAAGGAATCACCTCTTCTGTTGTCCATATTACATGCAGACCTAGAAAGAACACATCATCTAGGGGCTGTAAAAAGGATGATAAAGAGGGTAAGATTGGCAAAACTACACTCTCTCTGTATTTTTCTCACAAAAATGATTTCCTCACAAATACTTTCACAAATTTCCCCCTCTTCTCTGGGTCTGGCATTCCCTTACTTAACTCAGCCTAGATCCTTCAGCATTAAGAAGGTCTGATATTTGAAGGAGAAAGGGACACCGAATACAGACACAGGTCCTCTGCTTCCTCAGCATACCGTGTTTCTCTGGACAACATCACAGCCACCACAGTGACACAGCCAGTGAATAAATGCAAAAAGCAGCAGCGCTCTCCACCAGCGACCCTCCTGTATTCCTGCACTCACAAGGCAGCAAGAGCAACGTGGTAACTGACAGCGTGGTCAATGACAACTCCGTAATAAGACCAAATGATCCCATGAGGAAGCTCACAGTAGCACTTAAGAGAATGAGCCCTATTTAGGAAAAAGGCATTTTAATGCTCTCACCTGGGCTAACCTTCCCCAAGAGCCGGGCTCGCCCTCGCGGCTCCTCCGCCCTGCAGCAGCACCACCCGCACGCACAGCGGCCACACGGCAGCCTGCCCGCAGGCGCAACTGCCCGGCGGGGATTATTCTTGCCAGAAGCACAAATAATCTCCTCGGGAGGCTCTGCGTGAGGACTGTTGCCCGGGGGAGAGAGCATATGCACGTTGAAATGCAGATTTAGCTTCTCGTCTCCCTGGTCCAGTCCTAGGTTGACCTGCTGCGGCAGCACCGTCCCTGTGGATTTCAGCGAGGGCAGGCTTTTGGCCCGCACCCTCCGCTAAGGCACCTGGCTGCAAGAGCACTGCTGGTTATTAATGGTCCTCCTAAGCACCTTCCCTTTCTTTGCAATGCCTGAAACACCACAGTCAGGTCTGTCCTCCTCACCAGGACAGAAATATTTGGCCCTGAGACATCCATGTGAAACCAGAGCCCAGTGAGCCCTGCCTTCACCTGCTGCTTGCACCTGTCCTCAGGCTGACAAGATGGCCACCGCAGCCTGGGCCCTCCTTCTGGGGCCTCACGTAGAGTGATCCTTTCACCTTGGGAGCCGTTCCTTCCTAAATTAAAACCCAGAATGCTTTTTTCCACCAAAGACCTCAAGCACTAAGTCAAACCTCCCACCAATCCTGTCACGGTGCCAACAGATAACCAAACACCGACACCAGGCTCCCCACATGCCACAGATACCAGCCCCTGGATGCAGTGCTCGATGCCGGGCTGACCCCAAGAGCCAGACTCCTTCCCCTGAGGCATCTTCCCTGTTTTCTTCTTCAGGCGAATGGAGCTGTCCTCAAAGAAACGCTTATCAGTCGAACAACCGGCCGAAAAAATGAAAGTACAAACGAAACTTAATGGAGCGCAAAGTCTAATATGACAAGGAAAATTCCCGCCCCAGTTCTAATCTCTATTTACAATGTCAAAAGTGGGTCAAACGGGTCTGCAGTGGAGGGATTGGTTTGGAGAATGATCTCTGCAATGAAAAGCGTCCACGCAGCGAGCAGTATCACGCCGCGATACCTCCACGGCAATCCTCTCCCTGGCCCTCCGAGCCACTCAATTTTACAGCGCGGGGGCGAGAAGCTGTAACTCGAAACCCTGCCTTCATTCAAACATGATCTTAGTGCGACTCCTCAAGGACTTACAAGAGCTGAGATACTGCTGGATTTAGGCACGGGGTGCTGGGTTCGGTAACTGCTCTCCCTTTTCTCTCTTTCCCTTATCCTGTTCCCCAGGCGCAGGTTGCTGGGCAGTACCATCACACCGCCCAACCCAGCCCTTCTGCTTTACCTCGGCACGTCCTCCCTTGAAACGCAAAGGAATCGCAGGGATGTCCAACAGCAGCCCCAAAGTGAGAGACACAATTCATAATAACATCACTTTCCAACGTGTTTTCATTCACAGATCCTGGAATCAGCTCAATTTAATATCTGTCTTCTGCTGTTCTCCAAGACAGATGACTGTCATGTAAGCAAACGTAGCCAAAGCATCCTGACAAGAAGTTATTCTGTGCAAAGACGGCGCTCAACTACAAAGCAGTCCAAAGGAAGAGCATGCTACCCAGCCTTCAAACCCACCAATTTGTTTTTATCGACTGAAGAAAAATCTGTTCTTTGACCTTCAAGTGCTTTATTCCTTTTATGGTCAAACAACCTTTTATTTATTAAAATTCTTCTACTAATTACTCGCAGGGTACCCAGAGGCTTTAAAAGCACAAAATGCCAAAAAATGTACTATTACATTCCTACACATATCAAATCCTCTTTCTAAACAATTTTGGAAAGAAAGAAATGAACTTAAAGCATTTTCTAGAAAACATCTTCAAGAAACTGATAAACATTCCTGCTTATTTTTAATTTGTATATTTTTTTAAGGTTCTTTTTGGTTTTAGTTGCTACTTTGTATTTACAGGAAAGGGAGCTCTGTCAGTCTTCAAAGTGCCTGCTGATGTCAGGTATTTATAGAAAGTTCCGATCTTAAATGAGTTTGAGAGCTGATTCAGCCTACATCTGTGGGCCAAACTGTGTATTGTTTAAACCTCAAAAAAGCCCAATTTGAAGTGTCAGCTTTCACGACAAATAGGGAATAAAAGGGCTCATATTTAAAATGCTCTCAGGATAAAAATAATGCATAAATAACAGCAGTAGCAAAAAAAAAGACATGAAAAAAATAGCTGAATTCAGGGAAGGATGCAAATTTTATGTCTTATTAGCAATGCAGAAGAAAAAAAAAAAAAAGAAAAAGTATTATGGAAATATCTCAGTTATACCTCCTTCAGACTTACACCACTTTCTCGCTGCCAGCCTGTGTGGTATACACTCTGAAGCTACAGAGAAAATATTCACACAGTTGGATTGGAAAATGAGTTCATGAGTCCTTCTGTGATTTAGAAAGTACAGTGGGAAAGACCCACAAAAATAAGTTGGGACCCACTCACAAAACAGATAAGCAAAGAAATAGCCCTTTAAAAAAAGAAGAAAAAGGGGGAGAAAAAGTGATTTCCCCCCAGACTAAACTAAAGCCAGAGGAGAAAGGGACCTCAGACCAGCATGGGACCTCGGGCAGCTACCTGCCCCATGCCCTGTCTGGCGGAGAAGCAGCAGCCTTCCTCCCACAGCAGCTCTTCCTCCTCGCCTCTCCCAGCGGTCCCAGCCCGCCCACCACCACCTGCTGCCAGACCCCGTGTCTCCACACCACCAGGTCCACACCGACGTACACAGGACAGATCCCAGCACCCCACAGACAGCTCCTGGTGCGCCCCGCTGGGCACAGGGCAGGCTGTGCCCCTCTGCAAAGCCTCCCCTGGACCTGGGGTCGGGAAGGGACCCCAACATCTGAGGTGTTGGCTGCTCTGAAGTGAAAACAAGAGAGAGCCTCTCGTTCACATCAGCAGAGCCACTCCTAGCAATACCGTACAGAGAAAAGCACGTGAAGTTGGGAAACACTCTTCCAGCACTTCTTTCTGTCATGCTTGTGTTTGTTTTCGAGCCTGCCGTAGAGCCTGTTCCTCATGACAAGCTCAGGGCACCATCCCACCAGGCTGGCCGACACCTCCAGAAGGGGAAGGACCTTCCCCAAAGCCTCTCCCTACCTCACAGCTCAGCACCCAAAGCCTTGGAGCAGGCACGCAGCATTTTCACCTCCAACATGCAGGTGGCAACTGGAGGGGAAAGGTGGTGGTGGCCATCCTGGGCAGCTCTGCCCGTCACCCGTGGTGGCTCCCACGTTGCTCATGGAGGAGGTCTCACCCCTCCAATCATCTTGGTGGCGTTCCTGGCTGGTTTCCGTGTCCCCACTTTGCTCACGGGGACGGGAATGACCCCACTGAGCCCAGGGGACGCCAGTCCTGGACCTCAGTGCCATGGTGCAACACAAAGCAGCGACAACTCCCCGTGCGTGGCACACCGAGCCCGGCGCCCCACCAAACTCCGAGTGGTGGCTCCCAAACTTGGTAGCTCAGCGGGCGACGCAAGGAAGCCCCGAAAACCAAAAAAAGTTGAAACCCCCTTCCCTCCACCAACACGGCAAGTGCCCTTCGCTCATCCCCAGGGGGAAACTTTCCCCAGCGGGCACCGCAGCCCACCGAAAATAATAAAAAAAGGAACAAGAACACCTCAAACCAGGGGGTCGTTATTACGATTGGGAACGGCGGGGGTGTGTGGGGAGGGCGGGGAGGGGCTGGGGGGCTCCCTGACCAGCCGGGTGCCCCCACGGGGGAGCTCGGCACCCCGGGGGCGGTGTCGGAGGCCGCACAAAGGCGGTGCAGCCCCCCCCGCCCGGCCCCGCCATGCCGGGCAGCCGCTTACTTTGTCGATGGAGCCCGGCAGCAGGCGCTCGAGGAGGCGGCAGAGCACCACGCCGTCCTTCAGGGAGGACTGCAGGAAAGCCTCGGGGTCGGCCACCGTCTTCTTGGGCGACTCCAGCACGCCCAGGGCGATCAGCCACGTAACGGTCTGCTCGGCCGAAGTCATGGCCGCGGAGGCGAGGAGGAGGATGAGGAGGAGGATGATGAGGATGATGATGATGGGGAGAGGGGGGGTGATTTTTAGGGGGAGGGGGGGGGGCTTCAAGCGGATGCCCCCGCCTCCCCCATGTGAATGCAGATGACGACGCCCCGCCGTCACACCGCCACCCCGTGTCAGACGCGCTCACACACACACACTCACACCCTCACACACTCACACACCCTCACACACACCCTCACACACTCACACACACACTCACACACACACACATGCAGCCGCAGAGCCGCCTCCTCCCCGCCCCCTGACATCACGGGGCTTGCGCGCCCGCGGAGGCTCCGCCAGGGCCGGGCGGAGGCTGCCCCCCGCCGGCCGCCCCGGGCTCGGGGGGAGCCCGGCAGCCCCCCGAGGGAGGATTTTGGGTGAAAAAGGGAGGCTCTGAGGCTGGCACAGGCTGCCCAGAGAGGCTGTGGCTGCCCCATCCCTGGAGGTGCTCAAGGCCAGGCTGGGTGATGCCTTGAGCAACCTGCTCCGGCGGGCAGCATCCCAGCCCGGAGGGGCTGGAACTGGGTCGGCTTTAAGGTCCCTCCCAGCCCAAATGGCTCCGTAATACCCCAGCTGAGATCAGATCTGCCAAAGGGCAGCAGTGCCTTTGGACCCATGCCGAGATAAGCCTACCCTAACCCATAACACAGGCAGACTTTCTTAAACTCTGATGCCCGAGCTGCAATATCTCTTCCAACATTTCTCGGCATCAACCATCTGAGACTTCTGCTTCCCCACTTTGCCTTCTTGGTGCATATTTGGAGCAACAGCTGCCTGCCGGAGAGCTACAGAGAAGGCAAGCTCACCTATTTCTTGAGATCGGAAAGCAGCACAGATGGCTTAACCACGTCCAAGAGGGTGGAGGTGCCCAAAAGGTTGAAGAAAATGCCAGTCTCTTCCTGGCTTCTTTTCTTTTCATCCTTTCTTTTCACAAAGGATGGGGCATATCACTATGACCAGTTTTCTCACCTTTCTCTGCTTTGTTTCACCATCAAGCTGTTCAGATTACCTTATGTCCTGACTTCAGTCCCACTTTGGCTTCTAAATCATTCACAGGCTGATGATGCCCTGTATTTGGGAACCCCGTATGGTTATATTTAAGCAACCGAAAACCTTTCTGAAGACATCAAAGGCATGATTTTAACTACCTTTTCCTATAAAACATTTTTATATATAGGCAAAGATGAAAAAGTCATTTCAGTATTGATTCATAAAGAATAGATACAGAGCACAGATATGGTAGGTTTAGGAAACTCTCTTTACACAAAGAGATTTTTATATTTTTAATTTTAGTACTAGTTTAATTTAGCTTACTAAGAAGATCTGGACCCCTCTTTGAAAGAGATGAAGACATACGCTAGCCAAACTTGGCAGAGATCCTGTAGATCTAGCAGCACTTCGTTTTCAGCAAATAAAGATTCAAAAGCTGACAATTTCTTAGGACTTTTGGAATCTTTTGTCTTACAAGAAGTTATTAAAGAAACCAGGTAGTCACAAGGTAGAAGGTAAATTTCTGCCATGGATTAGCAAGTGGTTGAAAGACAAAACAGCAGGAATAAATTGCCAGTTTTCAATTTGATGAAAAGTTAATGCTGGAGATACCTCCTGTATTCTGCAATGTAGTGTCCTGAGTATTTATCCTAAGCTTAAAGGGATGAAAAGGCAATTGTATTCCTGCATGTTTTATTCCATCTTTCAGCCTGCAAGCAACAGTTTTTAGAGGAGGGGGAAAAGGAGAGGAAGGAAACAGCAGGTAGAGAAAGCTGCTGCTCCATTTTGGACTCCCATTTTCCATTTTTCATTTCCAGCTATTAATACCTCGCCCGTCAGCTCCTGGAGCAGCAATGAGGTGCTCTGGCCAGATACACAATTCTCTGCTTTCCCTGTGCCAAACCAAGGTCAGCATTTCGATGGGGAGGAGACTAATTAAATATCAGTCCGGCTTGGATAGAAATCACCTTGACAGACTGTAATTAGCTATGTAGGGGTCTTACTGGATCAATCACTGTCCTGGGATGCCTGTGCAGTAGTAACTGTCTCTGTAGATTTGCCTATGGAGGTTTACATCCCTTAGAGTAAAAGCCTCACCCCAACAAAGCAACACTTGTATGAAACTCAGAGGTATGTTTCCACGTCTGGTTGAACCCACCTTTCAAAAGTGTCCTGAAGTACCTCCAGCTGGCAGGGGAGCTAGGGCTCTCGCAGTTACCTGCTGTCACACATACATCTGCATGCCAGAGACGGAGTTGGAGCCCTCGGAAGGCAGACCCACCAGCCCAATGGTACCAGCACAGGTGAAGGTGGAGAAATACAGAGTAGAAGACCACTCTACATGGATGAAGCCACGTGGTCAGGTTTTCTGGGCTCCCATTGCAAATAGGAGGCTGCTGCTTCTGACAAAGCAAGGGTAGGCACTTGGAGAGCTGTCTGCCCATCTCCTCTCGGAGAGATGCCTTTAGTAGCTAAGGCAGGACAGAAACTTACAGCAAGTGTAGGCTCGGTCAGCCTCAGCTTCTCTTCTCCAAAAGCATTAATCTTAGTGAGGGGGGCAGCAAGAGAGTATGCTTTCCTCTGGACTGAGCTGTGCTAGAAAACTAACTAGAAAACTAAGTTGTTTTCTAGTGAGTACAAAGAAGGCAGAGAGAGAGGAAGGAAATAAATACAAATGGATCAATAAAATAAAATAAACTTGAAGGGAAAAATGTGTAGGAGATACGAGTGAGGAAAAAAAATAGACCAACAACAGAGACACGGTTATATTTGGATAACTTTATACCCAATATTTCTAATTATCTTCGAGGTGCCAAAGTATTTTGATAGGCAGATGCAAAATTTCTGGTGCCGAGAGCGTGTCAACCAAGCATAAAGGAATGAGTACATAGGGAGTGCAGTTACAGTGCTGGTGCAGAAGCACAGAGAGGAGACTCCTGGAGCCCGTGTTTAGCAATGGGACACGGGCACCCTGATGCTCAGGACCGCAGTGCTCAGCTCCAGGACAGGTGGCCAGGCAGATTGGCAATCTTGGTCTTAACAATCAGATTTTTTTTGAAGGTCTGCTTCATTTCGCAAGGCAATTAAGACAACTCTCTGTGTTACAAGCTTTATCATGACCATTGGTGCTTCTGTAGCTTTTATCCTGGCTATGATCTTTAGATGGAAATACCCGCAGAGTCCTCTGGCAAGCCTATGGTAGCCCCAAATGTAGCTCTGCTTCCGTGCTCCTGAGACCATCAATTCAACAGCTACACTACCTGTGTCTTCTAAGTGCAATTCGGGATAATGGCATTGATCTGTTATATCCCTCATTCTTTCAGAAACCAATAATAAGTATCTCCACTTCAGGCAGAGACGAATATAAAATGACGGTCCTCGCAACTGAGGGCTTAGTCTAAATCACGCACGATAGAAGATGAAGGATAGACCTGAGAAAGAAAGAAATGAAGAAGGACAATAGTCAGCAGTGCAGTCACACAAGAGGAAAGAAATCTATTTTAATTGCCATTTTGGAAGTATTTTATTCACGCTTAATGAGGACCGAGGAAGAAATGAAGGACGGGGATTGAATGTCTAGAAATCAAAATGGCTAGAAATGATTGAAAAAGGCTTGAATTTAAACCAAATTTAAACCAAAAAAGGAGTCAAGGTTTTCAGATTTTTATCTTTTTTAATGTGTGCATACTGAATGGACAGTGTTTACCAAAATTTGCCCTGCATTTTGTTAGCATGAGATGGAGTAAGTGCTTTTTTAACAACGCAGGCTGGGCGGAAGCAAACCAGCAGTTCCCCTGGGGAAGGTGTTGGGGGAAGGGAATTTGGCAGTGCCTCCGCACTTTCAGGCCAGTCACAGAGAAAGCCGTGTCCTGCAGGCTGAAATATCAGATGCAGATCCCCAGCTGGCAGCAGTTGTCACGGCTGCCTTGAAGTTGATGAATCTGTGACGTTTTTAAACAGCGAGCCCTAAAACTTTTGCTCTGAACTCTCATGACAGAGCCCTGACATGACTGTCCAGAAACAGAGGAGTGTAGGAGATACCTGATGGAGAGTTCTGGGCAGAGTAAGGGTAAGGGTTTTGCAGAGTCATCGGTGAAACCTCATTTGGAGTACAGCACAGCAACTTGGACAACCACATTCAAGAAAAATTAAATCACACTGGAACAGAGTCATTGGAAGAGTGACAGTGATCTTCTGAGAGCCTGGCTTGTTTAGCCTGGCAAAACAAAGCCTGAGAAAGGGGATAGGATTGCTGTCTATAAATACACCAGTGAGTAAATATCACAGATAGACCAGAGCTATTTAAGCTTAAGGACAATGCTAGCACAAAAACAAATGGATACAAACAGGTCCTGAATAAATTTATGCTGGAAATCAGAAAAGGGCTCAATTCTTCTGGCCATAAAATTCTTCAACGCTAATAAGAAGTAGTGGGGTGAGTTGCCCAGGCCATTTTTTGAAAGAAGTGCAACGAGTGGAGTGAAGTGATTATACCACTCGACTGCAGTAGCAGGGACTGGGACTTGCCCGGGCTCCCTTCCTCAGCAGAAATCGCCCAGCAAAATTTGTGCTTTGCCTACCAGAATCAAAGTGGGCCAAGCATTCATCATGATGGATGCTGTTTAGTGTGAGGAGTCAAATAAGCAGAACCACAGTCAAAGCCATTCCTTCACTCCCAGTGAATGCTAATGACACTCGTTCAGCGCTGCATGGAAAATTCACTTGGTAAACTAGGTTAATGGAAGAAAATCCTCTTCTCTGAGGGACAGGGCCACTGGGTTGGAAGCCTCACTGCGGTGACCCTTGCACGTATTTTGTAGTGTCCTCTTTTGTAAATATTTTCCAGCCCTATGAAAGTTTGCCACAGACCTCTGCCAGCTTGCCTTAAAAAATGCAGTCCCTACCAGAGCGAAGTAGGGTCCTGCTAGTGGTACCAATAGCCTGTCCCCTCCCTGACTCCGAAGGTCTGGGCAGTAGACAGGCGTTTTTCCAAGTTCCTGAAGTACAGGAGGATGGAAAGGACAGCACACAGGGTGGGAGAGGGGAGGGGAACAGCAGGATGCTAGGGGTTATTGGTCACTGCATTGGTCAGGAGCAACAAAAAGAGCAACTCTCCAGTCAGCATACGTGTGATAGCATTTCCACACTTCGATCCCAGTACATTTGATACAACCAGAAAACTGGATTACCCCCTATTTACACAGGAAATCACCATCTCCACATGGCACAGCAAGTGTCACCGCCTCCCTGCTCCCCTCTTTTTATTTTTTGGGCGCAGGCGTTGCACTGCTGGCACTGGCAGGGAGGGCTTTGGGAGCCTGCTCCCTTTGGCTCCTGGCCACAGCCCGCGTGTGGCACGCAGCAAGGCTCAGCGAGAGCGGCTATCGGCTCGATCAAGCTTTTAAGTGCTCCCTGGACTATTTTTGCAGCAGACCACGTGAGTTTATGGAGTTTTTATTTTTAGTCCTACAGTACAATTTGTTGACTACGTGCATTTCGCATGCAGTGGGTATCGAAGTGCCAAGGTGAAAGAAGCCGTTTAATGGTCTGCCAATATATGTTACAGTCAATAAATGCTGCAGATAACGAATGTCACCGTTTGCCTTACAGTTAGCGTCTGCACCCTTTCAGCCCTCATGATCATGTATTTATATTACATCCATTTAGGTTGCAGACCTTCATATCACCGCCGGTTCACTTCAGACTTGCTTCAACCCCTCTCAGCCAGCAGTAGCACGTTCTCCAAGTGCTCCTTCTGAAAGAAGCCAAGCACAAAATGAACTGTTCCAACAAAAATCTCTCTGAAGACCCACCTAGCTTACCAAACCTTTACCTACCCAGACTAAAGGGCTTGCAGTGGTGCTGCTACCAGGACCAGGAGGAGGATGGTGGACCAGGAGCTGCCCCTGCCCTTCTGCTTCTCCTCACAAGCTCCACGCACCTCTGGCTGCTCTCTTTCGTGCAGGTGAATACTGCGGTCACCTGATGGAGATGGATTGTGGAGATAGTTATTCATCTCAGCCCTTCGCCTTTTTCTCTTTGAGCTCCCAGTGTTAAAGAAATTGTGTATTGTTCCTTGGCTTTTCTAGCCCTGTTCGCAGCAATTAGCATTTTTAGTGCTTTTAACTTTAGCCAAATAAACTTGCAAAGTATGTTCTGATTAACTAGTAACCACATGACAAGCAGCTTCGTACATAAGATTGTCCAGAGGCCTTGAATCCTGAAGATCTAGAAATTTATAAAAGCCAAGGTGTATGCACAGAGTCACGTCACAGCTGCTCGGAGAGGAGAAATAAGTCACCATCAAGCTGGATTTCCTAGAGGTCTCAAGTTTAGGTAATGTCATCTCTTAGTGATTAACTATCAGCTAGGTCTGCCCTCTCTTAATTTCTCCTGGTGTTTTTCAGGTGAAGCTATTATCCCCACATGAAAATGCCCCTGGTAAGGAACGAGCCAGGCCTCCATTACTCAGTGGTCTCGTTTAAAGCCTCATGCTTCCGACAAAGTAATGGGATATTCTTGCTTTTAAGCACAGGAACCGGATAATAAAACACTGTAAGAACCCTGGGCTGAAGATTGCCTGAAATTTTTGTCTCCTTTTCCGGTGCTGATGTTTCCTAAGCTCCCAATGGAGATTTTCTACATCTATGTAAAGTGTATTTTGAAAGACAGCTCCACAGTCATTGCTTCTACATCACTCATCTAGTTTTCAGCAGGCATATTCCAGTTCCTTATCAGATATAGCTGCAAAAGGGAAACACAGAGTGAAGGTAAGATAAAATCTGCTTTTAAATTAAGCAAAAAAAAGTTTTTCAGTGTTTACCTTGGATTTTCTAGGGCACTTCCAAAGCACTGGAGATCTCCATTTATTTTCAGCGTATTACCTGCGATGACTACATGCGATGGCTGTATTACATTAATCGGGAATTGCTGCAATGGACTGACTCTGTAATTGCTTTCCGATCTGAAGAGCGTTCAGTCTCATCTCTACTCATAATCACTATCTGATCAGTGAAACGGGCCATGATAAAAGCTGGGTAAGAAAGCTTCCTTCTTTACTAATTGGACGAGACTTGGAAACCAGAGGCTTTTCTGGGAGCGCTGCCTATTTTCCTCATAATTATTTGCATATTCAGTTCAACAGCAAAACAAGTCCATAATTGTTCAGTTCAGAAATGAAAAGCTTCTCATCATGTACATCGGTCAGAAAAAACATGAGCAATCACTACATCAATACTAAATAGCACTAAATCAGTACTACCTGCACTAATTTGGGACTAGGAAGTGTATAAAACAAAAACTTAAGAAGCTTAAGAAGGACATTAAGGAAGGAAACCTGCTAGAGACGTTGTTTTATGTATGCTTGTTAGTACAAGGAAGAACTTTTCCACTGTTCAACGTGTAAATTACATTCACCATCTAATCACACCGAGACAATCTGAGGTGTTTCCACATTCAGATATGTTTTGTAACCAGTTTATAGCTGATGTGTAACTCACAACAGCGCTGCCATCGCCTTAAATTTAATAACAAGGGTGGGGTCAGACCTAAATGTGAGCCTCCCGCTTTGATGCCTGACATAAATAATGCACACAGAGAGTCTCAAATGTTATTTGGCTCTACTGCTGTGGATTGAATGTCATGGCTTAATGCCACTGTGCAGAAATAACACCACCAAAATAACTTGATCTAACTATTTAACCTTGCAAATACATAGTAGGAAATGAGGCAAAGCCTGAAAAAAAAAATGGGGGAGGGAGTTAAAAATAAATAAATAAAGGCTGAAACTGAGTCTTTGAATCCTTGTGGTTCAAACCCACATTGCTTTCACATCATTTTGTTCCATCCAAACTCATAAGACTGTCTGGACCAGTAATGGTTATTACAACATCATTACACTCCAGCATAGCTGTTTGTGCCTACTGATCAAATAATTCTCAAATATAGGCCTATTTAATTAGGTGATAGAGAAGGCAAACACTGAAGTCCATTCTCGAGCAATGTCTCAGAAAGTAACATGAGAGTTTTACATGAGAAAGGACTGACAAAATATTCAACAAACGCTCAGTGTCTGGCTCTTTTTGTTCTCCTAAATTTCAGTGCAAAAGAAAGGGAAAGTAATGCTTTAAATATAAAGTATGTCATTTCACATTATCTTTTTTTTCAAAAGACATTGCAGCACATCAGATTAATCTGTGGCAACTTCTGTCTGCAACTTCTACTGATGAGAATAATCTTTTCCATCAAACTCGTAGATGAGTAATATTTAAAAGCTAGCACTCGCGTTTTCTTCAGTGTAACTTCCCAAGCTGTGGAGTTGACCATTGAAATCTGTCTAGGGAGAGAGTTTCACCAGGACTGCTCCACCCGAGATTTCAAGCTCAGACAACTCAATCAATACAAAACAGATGAGGCTGAACCACCAGAAAGCAGATCACTCAAAAGTGGGCTCCTGTGCACCAATTCCAACTTTTTGTTCTTGACATTAGAGCTGTTCAGAAGTTAAACTTCAAGATTGGCTTATTTTCCAAGCCAGCTAGGAGAAAAATGCACTCAGCCACTGTCGTGCCTGTACGACTGCAGTCTTTGCTCAAACCAACTTAAAAATAAGTCTTCTGAGCATCTTCCACACACACATGAAATATTTCAAAAGAAAAAGGCAAACATCACTGTTTCCTGTCGTAGAATCATAGAATGGTTCAGGTTGGAAGGGACCTCAAAGCTCATCTAACTCCAACCCCCCTGCCACAGGCAGGGATGCCACTCACTAGACAAGGTTGGCCAAAGCCCCATCCAGCCTGGCCTTGAACACCTCCAGGGACGGAGCATCTACAGCTTCTCTGGGCAGCCTGTTCTAGTGCCTCACTGCCCTTACAGTGAAGAATTTCCTCCTAATGTCTAGTCTAAATCTACCCTCTTTTAGTTTAAGGCCATTCCCCCCTGTCCTATCTTTATTTACCCGAGAAGAGTCCTTCTCCATCTTTTCTATAAGTCCCCTTTAAGCATTGAAAGGTCACAATGAGGTCTTCCCAGAGCCTTCTCCTCTCCAGGCTGAACATCCCCAGCTCTCTCAGCCTTTCTTCATAGGAAGAAAGAACATTAACAACTTTCTGAAATGACAAATGAAAACTCAGAGACACTCCCCACTGTCGCTATCTCCTTAAAAGTGGAATTGGATCATTCACCAGCTCCAGCAGGGGAGCTCCCCTCAGAGCCTGCACTTTGCACTCATTGGAAAAGGACACCTCAATTTTGCTGCAGAAGATGGATCATACCCCACCACACACCGATGCACTTTCCTGCCCCATGGAGAATGGATACAGAGCCTCAACTGGGTATGGAGGGAGTGCAAAACAACCAGAGAAGCACCGACACAAGAAGTCCATATGTTTTCCAGACTCCTTCCCTCATTCTGTTGAATACAAGCTTCGTTTTTCCCAAATTAAAAGACCATGGAGAGAACTGAAGAGGGAACTTTACAGGGATTTTCCTTCGTCATTTTCTTCTCTTGATTTTAATTCATGAAGAAATAATTAACGTCTAGGGAAAATTGTTCTGAATCTCTCAGGATTTTTAATATTGATCTAAATAAAGGTTGTTTTTATACAGAAGCTGCAATGAACTATTCATTAAACAGATGCAACACTGTGTTTGGACCAGAGCTATTTTTTTGCATGAATAAAAAATAAATGAAAATAATAAAGCAATGAGTTTTGCAATTACTGGAGATCTTTATCTATGATGTTTCTGCTAGTATCCCAGTTTCTTCAAAAGTTTAAGCCTTAGAAGCCTCCAGCCAGTGAGAATTATGGACCAAGTAGTCCTACACCATGTAAGTTTATTTAACCATTACACAAGACCAGCCCATAGCACGTTTGGCATCATAGTAGCTACGGATTGACTCCACGATTTTTATTCAGTCCCTCTTAAAAACCGTGGGATCTTTGCCTAAACATCTATAATAGCAGATCTTCTATAGCAGTAATTAAACATAATTATACATTGTGTGAAAAAGCTGGAGAGTCTTATTTGTGTGGAAGGGGCTTTAATCCTCAAAAAGACACAGCAGGGCTGTTTGAGGAAGAGCTACTATTCCATACAATAAGATAGAAGTCTGGACCCCAGGCTCTTTTATTTAATACTCTGTTGTTATATTTTAATTTGCAAAGCACAAGGCAGATTATTTGCTTTATTTTAGAGTATGTTTTAGAGCTGTATGTACTAAACTGCATAGTTCTATCTGAAATATAAATATTCATATTTTACAGCAAAATAAACTAACAAAAAGGGAAAAGAAAAAAAAGTAGTGATGACATGTCAAGCCTGCTGGACTACAAAGCTGGATATAATTTAGCTTCCTCTTCCAAATGGTGGAAATAATAACTCTGAAAAAAACTACACAAAGAAACTTTGAAAGAATTTAACTTTTTATAGTTAATTAATGTTCTTTTTGTTAGGTTTGTAAACACTAGAATCTGTCTCTCATAAGCTAATTTAGCTTCAACAAAGGTATCTCATTGTTTACTGTAAATTACAGCTTTAAGTTACCATTCAAAGCCAAGAAGAATCATGTTTCAAGTTAAAGGACCGAAAAAGAAAAAAAAAAAAGAAAAAAAAAAAAGATGACTGTCAAGAACTCTTCACTTTTAGACCATGAACTTTCACACGGCCCTTTAGTCATAACCCTAAGAATAACAAAATAAATAAATAAATAAATAAATAAATAAATAAATAAATAAATAAATAAATAAAAGCTCTGTGCTAGGACCGCATTTCCTGTAACATATGTTCATGATTGAGGTATTTAACCAGCACATGATGTGCTCAGGCGGAGCGGAAGCTGCCCCTCTGTAGCAGCCAGTGGAGCTCCCAAAATAAAGTGGAGAAGGAGTTTGCCAACCGCAGCACAGCGCAGCCTCCGCTATCCACTCCTGCAGGGAGGTGTTAGTACAACGACGGGAGGAATGCTGCAAACAATCTGAATATTCAGTTAATAATGTTGACACACATTGTAGAAGAAAATGAGATCTGCAGAGAGTTATTCCTTTAAACAGGGTTTATACAACGCAAGCCTGCAAACAGATCAATCTCCAGCACAGCCATTAGTTCCCGTTTGTTTAAAGGCCTGGGAAGCATATGGTGCTGGTAGCACAAAAGAGTGAGAAGGACTACAGAGAGAGATAAAGCTCTAGGTAAAGCTGTGTGCGTGGTGACTAGGCAAAAATACTGCTTCTGAAGAAAACTCGTTGGAACAGCCTGAAGCAAAAGGGGAAAAAAAAAAAAAAATAACACCCTTTTAGGCCAGTACAGAAACTTTAGCTTGGCCACATTAATGCCCTGTGCACTCAGTGCCGGAGTGCAGCCAGCAGGGCAAGGCTAGGGATGCTTCCCATTTGTGAGGCTGCTTCTGGAGCACTGCATCCTGTCCTGGGCTCCCCAGAACAAGAGACTTCTTGGCCATCTAGAGCCAGTCCAGCACGGGATGAGGATGGCTGAGGGGCTGGAGCCCGTGAGATAAAAGGAGAGGATGAGAAAGCTGGGTTAGTTCAGCCTGAAAAAGACCAGGCTGAGGAGACAGCTGTTTGCTGCCTCTCCTTACCTAATGGGGGCTGCAGAGGAGATGGGACCTGATGCTCCTCAGAGACACGCAGTGAAGACTCAAGTCACTGCAAGGAACTTCTGAGTGGATGTGGGAAATCAAGTCACAGGGAGAGCAATGAGGGGCTGGGACAGGCTGCCCAGAAGAAGCAGCTTCCAGGGTGTGTAGTTATTCAAAACTTAGCTAGAGAAAGCCCAGATGAGCTGATCTAACTGCAGGCAGCCTTGCTTTGAGCAGGAGGCTGGACTAGAGACATCCAGGGGTCCCTTCTGACCTCAGTTACCCACAGTTCTGCTCAGCAATGAGGTGAGATGCAATTGTGGAGGCGTGCATGGCAGGCAGCACTGAAGTTTCACTGTTGAAAGCTGGGCATGGAAGTGAGTACCATCACACAACAAGAGCTGCCTGCTAGGGGCAAGCCAGGCAAACTCTCCACCAGCCTGTAGCACCTGTCTTCTAGCTAAGTCAAAGCTAAATCTTTCTGGAAGACAAGATATAGAGATCTAGATATCTATATCTGTTATGTATGTATGTATGTATTTATGTATAGATAGATAGATATAAATATAGGTATAAAAATATAGAGAGATAGGTATAAATATAGAGAAAGATAGAGATAGAGATAGATAAATAGAGATGTAGATGTAGATGTAGATATAGATGTAGATGTAGATGTAGATGTAGATATAGATATAGATATAGATATAGATATAGATATAGATATAGATATAGATATTTAGATATAGATTCCTTCACTGGAAGGAATGACACCTGCACAAAAATCATCGAATGTGACATCCAGAAACTGGAGGCAAACAAAACTGTTACCTACCTGCTTTCCAGGTGGAGAGCACTTTTATACTGGAGAGATGAAAACTGAAATTGGTATTTATATAAATACTGAAGTCAGTATTTAAATAAATTATTTATATTCCAATGACTTGGCAAAAATTCTTGATGTATTGACTTTATAAATCCCGTGTCTTTATCAGTATGAATAGAATAATACAGCTAAATTATAAAAACAAGCTTTGATGATTCACTATCCAGGAGTTATTCCCTGTGAAGCTTCTAACTCCAAGTACTTGAGGCAAAAATAAAATAATGTTAAGAATAACAACAAGCACATGTGCTAATGAAGCTGCTTCTAACAGCAAGGGGAAAGTGAGAATGTGAGGAAGGAGCAAGACACAAAGAGTATGACCTATGAGAAAAGATGGAGCAAATCTTCAAGCACATAGAAAGGCCGTTGCAAAACAGATGGAAATAATGTGTTTCCCGTGTCTGTGGTGCATGAAATGAGAAGGAACAGGCTTAAACTGTGGCAAGGCAAATTCAGATGCAACACTGGGAAATGTCTTTACAGCTTTTCTGGGGAGGTGTTGTAATCTTAGCATTGTTTGCAAGCCTTTAAGAAAGCACGAGACAAGTATCTGTCAGAAGTGATGAATCTCTGCGTGTTCCTGCCTGGGAACAGGAAGATGCACTACGTGAACCTTGATGCCCCTTCAAGCGTGACGATTTCGTACAGAAGCTTTTATATAGTGAACACAGGAATAAAAAGATAGCACCAATTCTAAATTACAGTTTAAAATACGATCTGAACTAGAGTTACACCTCTAAGAGAAAGATCAATAATCAAGAGGTTTTAGATGGTATTTGCTAAAGAAAATTCATATTAATTACCTTGACATTAGAAAAACTGTATAGGAATAAGCTCAAGGTGTTTTATTACTCAGTACTGAGCAAGCGGATGAGACAGCAGCCAGTTATCTAACGGAGCCCCCATGAATATGACTTCAGATGTGATCTGAGATATGGAGAATGTCAAACTAAATAATCGCTCATGCTTCTGGCCTTAAAATGCAGACATAAAACAGAATTTCTCTTTGGTCACCCACGGCCAGAAGGACCGAAACAACTCCAGTGATTGCTTATGGATTTCCAGGACTAGAGGCTGCATTTACAAAAATGGTTCTGATTTACTCCTCAAGAATTTTCAGGAAAGCAAAACGAAACAGGGGAATCCCAATTTCTCAGCACATTTTTCAGAATAATGAAAACAGCAGCCCAAAATGAACCGCCGCGTGTTAGCTAGAGGCTCCTTGATTTCTTTAGCAGCACAACTGTAGGC